CGGAGATGGATACGCTTGAGACGAGGCAATGCATGCGATACGGACAGGGTGTCTTGTGGCTCCCGCACGATGCATCCACATATGCTGAGATGCTCGAGATGAGGGAGGTTGTTGAAGACGCTCCCGTCTAGGCAGAACCGCCCCTGTACGCACTGCTGACCGCAACGGTCTGCGCCGCACTGACAGTGGCTCTGGCACTGTAGCAGCAAGGTGACCAGCGATGGCGGCGGCCTATGCAGCATGAGCTGCCTCTCGGGCGAGATGGAGGCAAAAAGAACGCCGCCGCTGGCACGGAGGTTCGGTAAGACCCAAGGAATGGGTCTGAAGCCGTTGTTCGTCCTCGCACCGCTGAGAAGGCTGTCTATAGTGGATTCCGGGGAGGTCATGAGCTCGCGAACGTGCTTGGCGAGCTCTGGTCGATTGTACAAGCTTTCGCCAAAGAGCTGGACCGCACGGTCGCTGTTCAGGGTCGGCTTGCTGTAGAGCAGGGGCTCGGCCATTTTCTATCATATAGCAATCGGTATGAAGAGAGTGGTGCGGATCGCAAGTCATCTAGATCTCACCTTGAACCATTTGCTCACTAGAAGCAGCTCGATGTTGGGACGCCGTGGCCGCAGTGACGCTGGCAGCCGAATTTGCCGGAAGCGAGGGCCCTCCTCTCTGTTCCACTCGCCCAATCCGTGGCCTAGCATAGCAAAACTGAAGATGTGACTCCAAACCGAGTCTGGGAGGCATCCCGCCGGTGGAAAATCGGTCGCCATCGGCCAGTACGTCCTCTTTACAAGACTTGGCATGCAGGCCTTCGAGCTATGGAGTTTTGTAAGATTACGCGTTTGTGAAGCAGGTGAGCCCGGGCTGTACGCACAGGTCTAGGTCGCGACGAGTGATTTTTATGACCCCTTTTGCGGTAGCATAGTGAGACGTCGTATACCAGTAGCGCTTCCTGTGGACCTCTCTCTGTGGTAAAAATGGTCAGGGCAGCACGACAGATAAAGAACCGCTCGATGACGTACAACTTTGCCCCAGAAGGCCGAGCTCATGCCTCCCCCTGGCGCAGGAGCAAGGACACTCTCGACCGCATCGGTGACCAGCCGTCGGTTTAGATACTCATCCGTGCGGCCCGGGAAGTCCCTCTCCACGAGGTCGAGGTATACACGTTGCGGCGATATCTGCTTGAATGCGCCGAGCCAGTCGATCAGGGGCGCGTTCGATGGCATTTCGGCATGCAGATGGAGGGCCTCTACGTTCGTGGCGGCCCGCAAGATCGTCGCTACCGCCTTGTTCTGTACTCGGTCGATGCGGAGCCTGCGGATGTGCTCGGCGAGAGCGGGGCCTGATCCTGCGCGCTTTTTCCTCTTGGCGTCGGCCTTGAGAGTGCGGGCGAGCGTCGTCGCCTGCTGACTGCGGCGAAGGATGATGCCCTCGTAGAGGTGCGCCTGACCGATGCGCGCCCAGGTCTTGTTGACGAATAGGAGGTTCGCCGCGGTGGACGTGGGGGTACAGCTGTACGTGTTCTCGTCGGACCACTTTAGAAAGGTTGAAGAAGGGAGGGTGAGGACCTGGTGGAGGATTACGTCGAGGAGCTCTTCGGGAAGCCTGCTGCCTGCGCTCATGACGGTGAAAGTAAGGATAGGGAGTGGATAGAGGTAGAGTAGAAGACGCGCTGCGTCTTGAGGGTGGAATGATGATGGTACGTCGATAGCGGCGACCATGGGCTACTTAAACGAAAATTCGCTCTTGTGCTACTTCGGGAGTGCAGGGCGGGCAGGCCATGAAGCTTTGAAGACCCGCGCAGACAGTGTCGGACAGTACGTTTACCCTCCTTGTATTATCGAGAACATCGTGCGACCCGCAGAGCCTGCATGAGGAGGCCATGATCAGCAGTGAGACATTGACAACCGCCGAGTGGCTCACCTACAGAACAAATCCGCGCCTGCACGGATGGATTTATGTAGTACAAGGCGCCCGAGTGGCTCACCGGCGTGAGGCTCGTTTAGCATCATGTGTATGCAGCATGGCGTGGTACTGAAGTACAACGGAACCGGCTGTCGGCAGGTTCATCGACCCGCAAAACAGCTTCGATCCACTTAGTCACAGCTAGCGTTGTAGGAGGGTGATATTGCACTGTCGCCGGCAGTACCTGACACCTTACCCCAATCTACATACTCATCTGAGATGTTGTAAGCATAATTAAGATGTGACAGCAAGCGAAGGGTGCAGGACGACCAAAGTGTGGAAGGAGCATCCCAAGAGAGGTCGGATGGGAGTTGGAGGTAATATCCATGAGCGTGGCAAGCGCCCGCTTTCGAAGCCAAATAGCATGCTCAGATTCAAGCCAACTGCGGCGTGCGCGCACGCCGGGAAGGTTGCGTTATAGATGATCATCGGTTGGGCATTCGAAAAGTGTTCTGACTCGGAGCTGAAGAACACGATCTCCTAACCAATCGCTGATACGAACATTAATTGAAGAGGCATATGGATTATACATACACACACACACACACTTAGTATACAGAGACAACACGGCACTATGTACAAGTACGGTGGACTATAACTACGACTACTACAACTACTATGGTAATACAAACATGGTACCCTCGCTGCCCCCCGCCCGTGTGTGCCCCGCGTTCAGCATGACACCGGCCGCACGCTCATGCCCACAAGTCCGTCCAGCCCCCGCGCGCCCAGCGCGGGCCTGATGCGCACGCCGAGATCTCCGTCCGCCTCGTCCTCGTCCACCTCATCGTCCTCAAGGTCTTGGAAGAAGAAACGCGGCGATGCCGGTCGCGGTGGTGGCTCCTCGCACTCGCACTCCGCGCCTCCACCGTCCTGCCCGGCCGCCACGACGTCCGCGAGCTCCTCCGCGAGTGATCGTAGGCCTGCTGTTGTGCGTGCGGGGAGCCGCACCGCGGGCGTCGTTGCGTCCTCCAGCTGCGCTACACGCCATCCTTGTACGGTCATTGGTGAATGCACGTCGGCGCCCGCGTCTTGCGTGGACGGACTCTCGAACGGCACCAGGGTCGGCGTGTCGTCCGTCCCCTGCCACATGAACGGGCCTAGTTCCTCCTCCTGGGCGGGCGGAGTTGACACGTCCGATGTAGACGGGCAAGACCAGCCGTAAACGGGTGAATCTTCCTGCTGGGGTGGGTGCGGGAACGGCTGAGGCGGATACTGCTGTCGACTTATGAGGATCTGCCAGCGCGCACGCCAGTCGACCTCCCACAACTTTGGCGCGCCGCCGCTCTCCTGCTGTGTGCTTGCATCATCCTGACTATATGCGGAGGCCGGAGAGTCAAATGCATACAGCCCGCCGGCGCGTGCCCTGGCGCGCTCGAGCATGTCGTGATGGAACAGCGTCTTGGAGATGGAGTATGTCGGGTGGTATATGAATGCGCGATCTGGCCAGTCGCCATACGGGTCCCGCAGGGCCGCGAGGTCGCCCATCCTCGGAAAGACCGGTGCATAGGGACTGCATGCCTGCACACGCGCGCGTCGCGCGGCCACAACTGTGGCATGGTTGATTCCATTGGCACCTTGACTGGGGAGGGTGCGGGTGCGAGGCAACACTGGAGGATCGGGGAACCGGAGAGTCGCGCGGAGGCCTTCGCGGCGGTATTCAGCCTGGACGGCGTCGACGTGTTCCACTTGCGCACGCCAGGCGTGCCACAGGCGGAAGCGGCGGTCCCAGAACTCTCGGCATGTAGCGAGAGCACTGCGCGAAAGGCCGTGATGGAAGAGGGTCGGATGCGAGGGGAGGCTTTCGATATCTGCAGAGGGAGCGGATATCTGTTGGGGCGGGGGAGTATAATCTTCTTGTGTGCGGGGTGGGATAGGGAAATCGTCAAAAGCAGGCTCGTCAGAGAAGTAGTGCAGGTCTTCCTCGGAAGAAGAAGAGGGCGAGTCGAGGTCGGAGCTGGATGTTGACGAGGTCGGGGAGATGGGTGGGTATAGAGACGGGAGGGCGATAGCGAGCGGTTTGAAGTCTTCGTCTTCGTCGGAGTCACTGTCGCTTGAGCTCGAGGATGGGAATCTGATTATAGGTTGTGACTTGAGTGTGTTGAGGGAGGGTATCTCGGGGAGAAGGTCGTCAGAGCTGACGGTGCGAGCAATCGTTGGCCTGCGGTAGCCAGCGCGACTTGGAGCGCGAGGCGGGTTAGGGTAGTCATTCATGTTCATTGCTGGTCGTTATAAGTGGTACAGACTGCGTTCAGTGTTGTGGTCAGCATGAATAGAGGGCGAGGAATGGCGCAACGTACCGATGCGGCTAGTGCGGCTCTTGCGGACAATCGAAGACGTACAAGTGCTGAGACGAGCTCGGAAGTGTGAGGAGGCAGCGAGGGTTATGATATGGTGTACGGATGCGTCGCTCAGCGGTATTTGCGCTGTGCCGAGGACGAGGAGGAAGAGGTGGAGGTGGAGGTGGAGGTGGTGGTGGTGGTGGTGATGGCGGCGGGAAGGAGAGACGCGGTGGCGGGGGTGGCCATGTTCACTCCCAATTCACGCTAAGCGCCCGCTGCTACGCGTTCATCACGTGCGTCGTGTCTCGCTTCCACTTTTTATTTTATTTTACGGATGTTTTGTTCGTCAGGGTCTACGACGATACTTGTAGGTCACCCGACAAGGGAGCGTACATAGGGAGCACGAGCAGCGATCATAGGCAAGAACAGAGCAGCGAAGATACGCAGAGATACGCAGAATAGGCTTCAAAAAGTGGTGACTCTGATAAGTTGAGAACTCCGTGGTCCAGCGGGCCAACGGTATGTATTCAAAGACAAACATTTAAGCAAGCAATCGACACGACCTGCCTTGCTATTTCGCCTGGTGTACACAGCAGACCATGGGTAGTTCGACTACGATCGTCATAACCACTGGTAGATCTCCCTTGTAGTCAGTCAGATTGATAGCAAGAGTATGAGTGCAAGTTGTAGAGCTCACCTTGCACGGTTCTGCGGCCTTCGTATGTTGTTAGGTCGACGATCGCGCTGAAGCACCAGTAAAAATGACCACCGCAGGGGTCGAACCTGCAATCTCCTGATCATCACCTTGGACCCCTGAGGGAACATAGGATCGTAGTCAGACGCGATGCCATTTCGCCAGGCGGCCGGTACTGCAGAATTGCTCGCGCCGAATAATTTGAGAGCTGATAGCCACTGAGAGCACAGTATCGTAGCTGTATGCTTCAGCAGCTTCCAGAGAAGAGAGTGACGCGAGAGGGAAGCACGACGTGTCGATGTGTGAGGCCAGGGAACGAAGCCGAGCGTACGAAGGGGCGTTGATGCGGGCAAGGCCGCGCTAGAAAAGGCTGCCTGACAGATCACCTGTTGGTGAGACTCAGCAAGTCCAGAGATACTTCAAAAACATGAGTATGTTCAAAATGAAGGAAGAGGACTCAGTTAAGCAGGCACATATGGCTGGACGGAAAGAACGAGTTGGCGTCAGTATAGCATGACGATGTGAATTTGAGGCCTGTCGCCCTTGAGTTGATCACAACGTGTTTTTTGGTAAGCGGGAAGTTGAAGTAGGCCAAAAGTAGGTCTTGTAGTTGTGCAGCTCTGTGCACGACGCCTCGAGCAGAGTCAGTAGATGAGCGCTGGAAGCTGGAGGTCTGGGGAAGCCAATTGGGATCCGGACAAGATCCGGAGGAGCAAGAGAAGACAGCAATAGACGCCTATATGCACAAACAATTGTCGATCAATATCCACGTGGCCGGACATGTCGGCATGTCGGCACAAACGCGTCCCAGTACCTGCCACCACTCTGCATCTCCTCTTGCCAGCCTCCTCTGGTCTCCTACATGTACTACTAAGCATCTGGGTTGCTGGGGATATCTGTGGCTTCTTACAGATCTTGTCTTGACTGTTGTGGACTTTGGATGATCTGGAAGTATGCCTGCAGCCGTCTCTGAACATAGCAGCCATGGCAGTCTCTCGATACCTACTTCTACCGATGGAGGGACCTCCAATGGAACTGCGACACCTACTACTGGACAGAGTTTGCCTACACAGTCCTGGTCGACCTCGGACTCTACGCTTGCCCCGGAGGGGGACAGAGAGTCGCAAGTAAGCCTTCCGCATGGCTTTGGCAGGACGGGAGAGGCTGATCCGGCAAGCTTCGCGCACAGCTCTTGTTTCTCTCAGACCAGCTAAAGGTGGAGAAGCGCATCAAGGAGGGCGCGGAGAATTTGCTCCAGATGGAACTTAATGTGAGTGCGCACGCGACTGCATTCTCTGTGATTATCATCATTGTGTCCGCGGCGGTGGTCGACTCCTACTGCCGCACGCACGGTCGGCATATCAAGGAGGGATACCATGCCTCGTTTTCCACTTGTGGTTTCCCTCCGGAATGGATGTAATCACAGGGAATGCTCTTATACGTGTTTGGTCTCCGTCATCTCATACATCCTGAAGGACGCGCTGCGGAGTCAAGTCGAATCGGAGCTTGCAACTGCGAAGAAGAAGATGCAAGTCATCCAAAAGTCCATGGAGTCCGGTGGGTATATACATGTCCGCATTCGACAATAGTATTGACTTTACATAGTTTCTGGCCGCAGTACGCGTAAGCGGAGCATCGACACCGGGAGTGGCAAGCGAAAGTTCACAGGCCAGCCGCTGCAGTCCACTCCGGGATGGAAAGAAGGCTCAGAACGAGGTCTGTACTAGTGATTGCTGTTGTGCCCTAACCCTCCCAACACCCTGCTCAGATGACTTCCGCTCTGCGATGCATCAGGCAAATAGTGCCATCAAGTCGCTGCTGCTTTTATCGAGGCAACAGTCATACGGCCAATCTAGCTCGTCCGCGGCATCCCCTTCGACATCCCCATCCACCTCTACATTACCAAACCCCGCGACGGCGACCGATGCTGAGTTGAGCCGCGCACGAATAGAGAACATGGCAAAGTTGATCGCCCTTTTGCAACGGAATCTGCGCGTCCGCTACGAGTTGGACGTTGGAGAAGTTGTGCATGCGTCAGTCCGAACGCGTTTGTATATACCGTTACAGGGACTTGACATATTGTATAGCGTGCTGCCCTCTCTTGGGGACAAAGCGACGAAGCAAGCTCGAGCTACTGCGTACAGGCTCATCCGGCACACGCTTGTCGACTCGCATTCCGTGAGGCGCCTTGGGGAACAGAACCTCGATTGGTACATCGTAAAGTACGTCTTTGATACACCTTTCTTCTTCTTGCAGTGTTCATCGAGTGCTATAGGTCGCTATCTCGCGACAACAAGCATACAGTCGAGAAGGAACAGGTCATCAAGCTTATTCGAACCGTTGTGGACATCGGCTCAGAGCGTCATTCGTCCCGCTCTGCGATCGGGTCCGGGACAGTGCCGCTCTCTGACGCGGTCATGCGCGCACTTATCGCCGTGGCGGAATACCCCGAGGATCCCTTTAAACCAATATGTGTCCAGACGCTCACTGAAATCCGTTAGTCCATCTTCCTTGCCCGTAGAACGTTGAACATCTTACACCACCAACAGTACTCATTGATATTGAATTGATGGCCCGCACTGGGGGCATCCGAGTACTCTTGCATGCGCTCTCAGAAGGCCCCATGGAGATGGCACCCTTGTTGTCTGCGGCGTTCTTGCATATCGTTGACTCGCCAAAGACAAGGGCTTACCTGCACCCGGGCACTGACCTTGAGGTATGTCCTTTATCGTGTTCTGAAAGGATCACAGCCTAAGATATTTGTAGATCGCTCTGTCAGGTATCACCGACGCATATGGCCGGGGCTTCGAGCATAACGAGAAGATCAAGGGGTGTACCCGCATCGTTTCGTCTATGCTTCGGACGTGGAGTGGTCTGTGTATTCTGGCTGAGATCAGTCGTGAATTGACTGACACCCCGCATAGGCCTGATGTACTGCTGTATCAACGATATGATGGCCATTCGCGCGGTTATCGACTGCCTCCGAATACCGTCGCTCGAAACACGGGTTAGTGAGGGAAGCGATAGCACGTAGGGCCGCTGATCTTAACCTCGTACGCAGGAAGTTATTCTGGACATGTTCTTCGACTTGCTGAACATCAAGCCGCCTGAATGGCATCGAGCATTCATTGACGGCCGGCGACTGACGAGTAAGCGACCTTCTGCGCGATCCCAGGGCTCTCGATCCTGACGGCTCGCTAGCGTATCGCAAGTCCAGGCAAAGCGCCGATCTGGCCCAGCCACCACAGATACCCCACCGACATCATCAACAAGATACCCTTAAATTGACCGACCAATACATCGCGCTGCTCATCTTGGTCTTCTCAAAAGCCGGACTTCTCGATGTGAGTATTTCTCGCTTCCGACGATACGATGGCGCAGAAACTCATGCTGCTAGACAGGCACTCACATCCATGTTCGAGGAATCGAGCGTGGGATCTGCGTTGTCGCGGAAAGCGACGCTACTTATGGCGGAAATCTTGCAGAAGGCGAACCGCGTTCTCCCGCTGTCTATAGCAGCCAAAATTCAGGTGTGTGCGCTGCGGCCTTCTAAGGGAATGTGATGCAGACCGTAACCGGGATCTTTGCAGGCGCTACCACGCGTGTTCAGCCTAGCGTCGGACTACGACGAGAACGAGCACAGGATCGTAGGGTCTTCGGCTCTGTCTGCTATTGACAGCTTCAACCGCTATCAGTCCAGATCAGAACCTGCCGTGAAGGGGGACACTCGCCCGAGGTATGACTGACAAATCACATGGTAAATACTTGTACTAAAGTTGTTCCTCAACAGGGCAAACTCAATTGAGGATGCCGTGCGGCGCGGGCAACGCCAGGTCGAGCAGACGAAGCTAAAACAGAGCATGCAGATGGACGACAAGACGTTCCAGACACTCCTACCGGAAACGCAGGTGATGTTCACGAAGGACCACACGAAGTGGAACTTCGAGACGCTGCAGGACCTCATTGACGGCCCACTGCACAACGCGAAGCGGATGGAGGAGGCGATCAAGGCGTCGCGGTACATCCGCAAACTCATGTCGTTCTTTCATCCATTCAACCACCGCTTCGCCGACCTCCCGAACACGAAGGTGCGTTAGTCTTGCCTCGGAGCTACATGCAAGTGCTCATGGCTCCTTTCAGTCCAACCACCGCTGGGTTCGCCTAGGGTGCGCTCTGCTGAATGCACTCATGGCAAGCTCGGATGGTATCCGTTTCTTGCAAGAAGACGAGTTCTTAGGCCAACTGGTCAAGAGTTTCGCCCAGCTCGATCCGGTAAGTATATTTCGAGCCACCGCTGCGCATACACCGACTAAAGATTATGTAGATGACACCGACACCCGTCCCAGATCCAATTTTCTCCAAGAAACGGGTACAGGAGACGCTCACCGCGGGCTACTTCGAGATGTTCGGCACTATGAGCAAACGGCAGGAGGGCATCGAGTATGACATTCCTGTTCAAGCGCGTGCGTGGCATGACTGATGGTTCTTATAGGCTTTTGGAGAAGTTCAAACTGTTCACGGCATTCTACCACCTCACCGAGCTGCGAAGTAGGGAGGACCTCACTAAGGGCATCATCGAGAACCTGGACTACAGCATGTGAGCCGATTGCTTCGTGCGTGTCCGATGGCACTGATGTATATCGCCCACAGTGACGGCCACTCACGCATCGTCTTGTCGAAGGCATTGACGTCTGTTTACAAGGTACGTCTCTGATGACCTCGATATCTCTCTGCAATAACAAACAACACGAGCATACAGCACATTCGACACTATGCCACCAACTACCTCGGCGGCCTCATCCGTGGCAGCCAGACGGCCAACGCGTGGATGCTCCGACTGCTCTTGACACAACTGTACGACCCCGCGCCGGAAGTGCGCGAGCTCGCGGTGCGGTTCTTGGAGGAAGCGTGCGAGTCGACCGATGTGCTCCAGACGGTGGTGGAAATGCAGCCGACTCTGGATCATCTCGGGGAGGTCGGGCATCCGCTACTTTTGAAGTGAGCTGCACGTCTCAGAAAATGCGGTTTCCACCAGATTGCTGAACAGGATTCAGGTTCACATCGACTCCCACCGGTTTCCGCTTCTTGTACGCTGCGGGTTATATTGATCGTGAGATGGAGTCGTGGTTCCATGTGAGTGACACAAGTCTAGGTCAAGATATGGCAAAATT